AGGTTGTAATCGGAACCACTGTTGAGCAGGATCTGTCGCCTGTCATCTTTGCTCAATCCACTCTGCTTCAAAACAAAATAAGCCAGCAAATCTGAGGACATCTTGGTCTCACTATCAAGCTCCTGCAACTCAGCCCAGTCCAACTTCCGTGAACGAAGGTATGCATCTAAGGCCTGTCCTCTCTTCCTGAATCCCCGCTCAAAGAAGCGGTCGAACTGCTCGGTCTTCTTGATCACGGTCACTTTCTCAATCGACTGCAGGGCTGACAAAACATGCTGAAAACCACGCTCCTCCGATAGCCTGGCCATATCTGTGATGAGGTCCTGACAAGCACGCCAAGCTTCTCCATGAAGACCGTTCAGCAATTTCTTGGCGAAGGCCTTTTGCTTCTTTTTCAAGTCCCTCTTCTCTTTCTCTTCTGTGTCTCCATCGCCCTCTAAGGAGCTGTAGGCAAAGAGGACTCTCTTCCTGTATTCTCGCATGAGCTCAGGCCTATTGCCGGTATAGTGCGGAATGCCTTCACGATCGACGACTATTTCGTCGTCCTTCCAGAAAACGGAGCCGCCGGATCCATTGCCATTTGCCATGGCGCGGGAACCGGCTCCGCTACCAGTGCGAAACTGCAACTGGCGCAGAGCACGGCCCCTTTTCCGCTTCGGGAGATGCTGCTCGGTTTCTACATGCAATGTGAAACAAGTGTAGGTACTGCTCTTCTGGTTTCTGCTGTATGCTTGTGGTTGCTTCTATCTTGTCATGACGGGCCGATCGAACGCTTGGCCAACATCTGGGGCCGCCGGTGCTTGGGCCAGTCTTGCCTGGCATTGCGGGACAGCTCACGGTCAACTGCATTCTCATCGAACTTCATGGTAACTCTCACAGTGTATGTGTGTATACATATAATTACACATGTCATGTTGCCCTTTTGTTTTGCTTGAAGGTTTTGGCCACACTCACTCCCTTGATGCTCAAGCGGTCCACTCGCATGACACCGAGGATTCCTCCTCACGTCGCCCAGTTCCCTACGCGCTCGCGCGAGCTTTTAAAAGGGCAGACCGATGGGACGCATCCATCTGGAGACACTTGCAAACGAGTCCAGTGTTATCCATAGAAGATTCAACTGGGGCATGTTGGAATAATCAAAGGGCTAAAAGGATATCTCGTCGTGAAACTTGAGTTCTTCAGAACATCCATGAACGTTCTTCCCAAGTTTGACATCCCCAGTTTTTTGGCTCAGTTGTAATTACAAAAGATTTCGGACAGAAACTTGGTCTCAAGTGGAGTGCTTCAATTCTGTACTGTCTGCACGGAACGGGTTAGAACCTGGAGTGCAAAAAGGCTCTCCGGGCGCAGGATCACCAAATATCTGATGGCAAACTCATTGAAACTCTACAGCATTGGTTCCCAACCTGTCTTTGACAGGCGCCTTATTCAATGTTGCACCAAAATCCGTTAGATAAATTCGAAGGCACAGGGGATTGGTTTTAGATTATTTTCGTCAGGCTAATGCTTTGCCTCGGCACTGTACATGATCGATAGGATCAAACGGCTGTTGGCTGGCACGCCGGCTACTCCTTTCACTTACTCTTCAACATCGGGTCACAAGCTGTCTTTGACAGCTGTCTGCTCCAATGGTGCAAAAACTGAGTTAGATGGATTTGAAAAAGACCTTACATGTTTGGTCTCAAGGAAATCTCCTTGCTGCAGTAAACAGCTGCAGAAATCCATATCTAGCTGATGGAGCTGCAGATCCTGCACACTACTTTGTTCCCTCTCTCCAGGAATGCAACATCATGCAAATCTACTTCCTCAATCACACCGAATCAGTCCCTCTAAAAGGTGGACTTCTTCTTCCTCAACTCATCCTGCAGGTGGAGCAAACATCCTTGGAGCCCTCCTCATCTGCATCCTCCGTGCCCCAAACAAAGCCTTTGGTCACCTGAGTCACCTGCCATCCGCAAATCTCCGTTGACTCCTGGCGGGAGACCCGTTTCGGCCCAGCAGCCCGGCTGTCTTCAAGAGCAGGTCTCGAGCCCTAACAAGAGATGCTCACTCTTCTCGAGAAGTGTGTAGGTGTTCACTCACGTTGACCAAGTCACCCCAACAAAACATAAGGCTTCCAAAAAACCTCTCACCTCACACACTTCTCACACACCTCAACGCCGCTCCCCCAAACGCTTCGAACTCACTCCCACCGTCTTCTTCCCCCCCCCCCCGCCCCGAATCACCACCGCCCGTCTCCCACGCACGCCCGAAGATCCCGTTCAGAACCGTCGCGTCGCTCTCTCGTCCTCGGGTCCCTCGTCGCTGCCGCTGTCCACCTCCACGGACTCCACCGTCTCGGCGCGCGCCACGCCCGGCCCCGGCGGCGCGGAGACCGCGGCGGACACGGCGGCGGACGCCGCGGAAACCGCGTCCGGCCCGGCGCAGGTCCGGAGGTGCTTGCCCTGGCGGGACGAACCGGGGACCGACCAAGAGCGGCGGTGAGGAGCGAGAACTGGGAAGGAAAGACTAAAACGATGATTTTGGGGGGGAGATGAAGAGGAGGTTTTGGGTTGGGGGGTGGTAGACTCTGGTCAGAACCATCTGTTTTGGACACTGAAGCTTGGGGATTGTTGAAGGTCAGTTGATGTTTTGGGTATTCTAAGACCACCTACTAACCAAAGAAACAGTGATTTCAGCCACCTTTCGAGTGGCCGTCATCAGGGATGACACCCCAGGTGATGCTCCAAGACCAATTCGAGAATGCAACCGTCTTGTTTTGACCCCCTTGGCCACAGTTCTCTGCCTTTGGTGGTTCATCAGTTGCTACCGAACATGAGAGGAACATGAACCGAAGAGTCAAAGGCCTTTGGCCGGATGCGAAGAGCTGTGAACCAAGAGCTGTCTTTTTGGGTGATTTGGTTTCGACCTCACAGCTGTGTATGTATCTAGAAGGATCTCCTCGAAGGCACCAAAACAGGACCGACCAGCCCCAGGACCCCGACCGGCCCCAGGACTCCGACGACCAGCACGGCCACCGGACCGACCAGCGTCACAGCACCTTCTCGCAGAGGGGAAAGGTGGCGCCGCAGCGCTTCGGGCAGCGGATCTGCAGATTGTCGATGCAGCGCCGCTCGCAGTGGGCTTGCACGCTCGCACCCCCTGCGGGCAGGTGCGGGGCAGGATACCGAGGTCCCCAGGTGCGGATCTGAAGCATCGGCAGGCATTCGGGGCAGAGCTGCGAGGTAGAGGTTGGTGATCCACAAGGTGAGTCATCTAAGGCTGCCTTTTGAGGAAGAAAGCAGGCAACTCTTCTTCTCCAACATCCAAGACACTTCACTCGCTTGACCGTTTTAGACTCGATCCGGCCCCGGTCTCTCTCACATGGTGCGTTGACCAGATCTTCCACGTGACACCGTCACACCATCAGAACAGCATGCCGACAGCCGACCGAACTCACCCTCACCTTTGCGACAGACCGGGCATTTCGCCGCTTTGCCGTTCTTGGCGGTGGACTGCTTCCAGCAGCTCTTGCAGAAGAGCACCGAGCCGCATTTGTGCACCATGGCGCCCCGGGCGACCAGCAAGCAAATGGCACACTTAAAGCGTTCAGTCGCCGGCTCGTCGCACCAGTCCTGCGGTGAAGAAGTCTAAGTTTTTAAAAAACATAATGGAGCCAAGGTATAAGTGAGGTGGAAGAGCTTCTTTGAAAATGTGAGATGTGTTCAATGACCGTTCACTTGATGAACTGTCACGCATCAGGCTGGAAACCAGAATATTCTCTCTCTCTCTCTCTCTCTCTCTCGATTTCATTAAGTTTACGCTTTTTTTGTTTAAAGATTACAGCATTAATAATTTATAAGAAATCCCAAATAAATGGTCTCTCTCCTTCATCTCTCTTATTTTCTATGGAATTTCTCTTTGCTATTCACCTTCATTTAACTTATATCAGAGAAATTCTAGTATAGTTCGTCATATATTATTCATTGTATCTTTCATGGCCATTGGCAGTGAATTGAAAGAATTCCATAAAGTAGAATGCCAATGGCAAGATACATAAATTAATTGAACTAATTGCCTCTTCCTATGTCCTTTTCATATAGTGACAGTAGGGATTACCAACATAAGGAATAACATAGCCCAAACAAATATCATTAGAAAATATAGATGGTACATGATATGAATAATTCTGGAGGATCCAACCTACGTTTTAATGGGTGAACTGTCATCACGAATAGGAAAAAGAGATGTTTTTTTTGGATCATGTTTCTACTTAATTGTCTCTTCTTGTTCATCTCGTATCTTCATCTTTTATTATGTTTCCTTAATCCAGTATATCTCATCATATTTTTTCATGGGATTACATCTTTGACTCACATGTCATGGACTTTTCATCATGTATTATCATTATCTTATCTATGTTTACTATGGTATTATTTCATCTACTATTCTCTTATTTTATTCCATTGACCCTTTTTTTATCTCATTCTTTAGGCTCTCTCTCTCTCTCTCACAGTCTTTGACTGGACCCCAAAGAAATGAAGCTGATCTCGAATCCGTGATCTGGCCACCTCTAACCTTCAAAAAGAACCGACTTCACTGGCTGCACGCATGAAGTTGAATCAAACACCCTCCTAGGTCCTAGACCTGCTGATTAAACATCGTCATTGAAACCATGTTAAAGCCCCCCAAGCTTGAAGAGGCTTCGTTCAAATCCAAATGGAGGGACTTTGTTCAGTCTACATGACCTCGCCCAGCTCCTCATCATGTCCTCCGCCGATCTTGCCCTTGCGTTTCTCCTCCTTTCCCAGATTCCTCATGGCCGGACTTCGAGCAGGTCCTCGCTGTGCACCGTGGATGCTGTAAGCCTCACGTCTGCCCGTGGGCCGTGCGGAGCGGCCAAGGGCGCCATGAGTCGACCATGTGATCCACTTGAAAAGAAAACAACGCCCATCAAGGGCGCCTGTGGCTGAAATGACACACACTCATCCATCAACCTCTCTCCTGGGCCATTGAAGTCTGGGACCTGACCAAGAAGCACAAACCACCCTCCACAAGCCTCCAAAATCGACCCTCAGACGGCCAGCCAACCGGTCCACGGCCAACCAACTATACCGCATTCACGCCAGCAACCACCGGGCCTTTCCCATGAAGTTCACCAAGCCCAAGGCTGCCAGAGGCGCCACCAAGGTCTCAAACTCCTTGGGATAAAACCACGCGCCGCGCGTGACGCGGTGCACCGTCACGGTCCACGAGGAGGGCGAGAAGCGCAGCCGGGCTTCACTGGATTCCGGACAACCAGACCAATCGACGTCCTGAGGAAGGTGAAAGCGGGACGATGGATCAGTTTCTTTGAATAACTTGCTGCAGTCGAGCACGATCAAGCTGCGTTAATCAGGCGACCTGTTCTAATGTTTGGCTAGCCTTTTGTTTGTAATTAGCGTTCTACACTTTCATACTGCTTCCAAAAACACCATGGCCGCCAAAGGTAGGTCTTCAACAACTCTTATAATACAGTGTCATCCCACAGCTGTTCCCTTTCGAATAAGAAAAGAAACGACACGAGCGAAAAAGCGCTCCTCATCCCATGCAACGATGGTCACTTGGTCGCCTTCTTGAATATCCTTGCACGTGCCCATCGACAAGGTGGGAGCCGGCTGGAACTCCTCCAGGTCTGTGGACCATTCACAGGGTGGCATCGGAAGGTGGTTCGGAGGAGCCTCGTACTTTGGCTCACCCGCAGTGGTCTCACCATCATTCATCCTCCACCTGCCACTGGCAAGCCCTTCATCGCGACGACCGGATTCATTGAATCTGACAGAACACTCATTCAAAACCCATCCAAATGGTCATCTATGGATTCCAAACCATCCTGCCTGCCCTCCATGAAATAGATGATGGAGTTGCCACTCACCTGCTTGTACCTCGGCTTCCCTGCATAAGTGCCATCATGAACATAGCGGCCATTGACGGGTGCATAGCCAGCACCTGCCACTACCAGGAAAGGTGTTGGAGCAGCTTCGGCTCCTTGAGAGGCTCTGATTCTCGAATGCACTGCAGAGTCGACTACAAACTTTTCAGGTTGCCAAATGCCTCCTGTGACAGTGCGTAATCATGTATTATATGTGTTTGTCACACAGTCCAATGGCGTGGTTTTGGGCCACCACCATCTTTACCATCTTTGCTTCGGAACCACCACGGTGAAACGCCGAAAACACGCGGTCCACCCGGTCCTGACGGGTTTGGCGCAGACGTACTCACCCTAGTCTCGAGAAGCTGCGGCTTTCCCATCAACGTGACCGTGCCCAGGGCAGCCACCGGGGCGATCAACTCGGACGCCTCGCGGGGATAAAACCACTCGCCCAGCAAGCGGTGCACCGTCACCGTGCGCGGGCGAGGGCCACCGGTACCGCGCCCAGCAGCGGTCGCCAAGGGCAAGTGCTTGGCGCGGTCGCTCTCGGGACAGCCGGACCAATCGACCTGGACGGCTGGGGGTTCGAAGAAGATGGGGTTTCGGCACCTGAACGGGTGTTCTATGTAGTGAGCTTGCCATGTTTAAGACTTCTGAAAGCGATCCAAGTCAAACAAGGCGTTCTGTGATATACAGCGTTGGTCAAAGTCATGTTTGGAAACACTTGGTGGACGACATGAGCGTCCTGGACATGTGCTCACCAAACAAACATCTCATGTCCTCTCTGCAAGACGAACATTGCCCACATCATTGAAAACAGCATCTTTACCTATCTTTATTTTTGAAGTTCAGGTTGACTATATACATGTCCTTATAAGTTGTCCTTAGTGAAGTACAGGAACTTCCCGAAATCAGGTTAGGTCCCCAGGAAACAGACCAACCATTCTTCACATCCTCTCATCCTCATACCCTGTCAGTGAGCCCATGCCGCACTCGCCTCATCCTGTCCCTTCACAATGCTCACCACATCGCCCACCAGCAGATCACGGCCCGTTCCCACAGACACCTGTGGCACCGTGCCATAGCGGTGGTGCGTTTGAACCCAGGCGTCCGGTGGCATGGGCACATCGCCCTGCATGCCGTCGTAGCAACGCTCGTCCGTGATCTCCTCGTCGTTCAGCCGCCACTTGCCAGCAGTGAAAAAGATGATGGAGGTGCCATCCACCTGAAGGGGAGGGCATCGCTACTAGAAACAAGGGCATCGCTACTGGTAGCAAGTGCATCGCTACTAAACTGAGAATGAACAAGAATCAAAAACATCTTGAACTGTTCGAGAGATCTTTGAGGAGTTTGGATACTTTGCCAGGCCCGGCCTGCTTATATCTGGGCTTGCCTGAAAATGTACCATCATGAACGTACCGGCCATTGACTCGTGAATGTCCAGCACCGACCACCACCAGGAAGGGTGTTGGAGGAGGTTCGGGATTCGAAGCAGCTTCAGATCCTGTGGGGCTCAAGAACGAGATCTTCAGATCAGAACTTGGGGCCCTTGGGGTATAGATGGGACCTATATACGCCTGATTGGAGAAAAACGGGGAAATGCCAGACTCCAAACGCCAAACGCTCCGTTTCCACCCAACGCACCCTGAACATGTCTCTTCCACAACCGCCGGACTATTCCAAACCCCAACGAAAAAGAATGTCCATCAGTCGTGAGGAAAAACATCCAAAGAAACCGTTACAACGATGATGCATTACCAGTGAAAATGTCTGAGTCTCCAAACCTGCATGTGTGAGAGAACTCCAGACAACCTGTTCATGTCGATGTCATGTTGTGCATATCTTTCAAATGTCACCTACTCACCCTACTCGTCCCCAGACCTTTTGAGGGCTCAAAAGCTACCGCACCGGTGTCCTCCGTGTCCTCCGTGGGTGGTTGCACGCGAAGCTCGCGGCTTCAGTTCAGAGTTGCCCTCGAGACAAACACGAAACGCCTTGCCCATCAAATTCACCACGTCCACAGCAGCCACGGGCACCACTTTCTGCGGAAATTCCGTGGAGTAAAACCAATCGCCGCCCGAAAGCTTTTGGACTCGGAGCGTCCATGGTGCACTGCTCAAACTCAAGCGTCGCTCCTCCTCATTTTCGGGACATCCCGACCAATCGAGCTCCTCATGGCTCGAACTAATGGTCACCACATCGTCTTCCTGAAGATCGCGGCCCGTTCCGAAGGCAAGCCGGGGCACCGCTCCGAAGCGGGACTGAAACTGCACCCATTCACTTGGAGGCACCGCAGAAGCGCTGGCAGAGAGCTGCTGCTCCATGCGTTCCTCGACCTCGACGCTCTCGACGCTCTCCTCCACTAACGCGTCGTAGCAACGCTCGTCGGTGACGTCCTCATCGTTCAACCTCCAACGACCCTCCATGAAGAAGATGATCGAATGGCCACCCACCTGCGACCAACGGTTCGACCCAAGACCTTCGCCATTCCGCCATTCGTCCGCTCGTGGCGAAGCGGCGCCGATCAACCGAGCAACCGGTCTATGACTAGGGTGGTCTTTTGCCAGCGACATCCCACACCTGCTTGTACTTGGGCTTGCCAGACAAAGTCCCATCCGGAATATAGCGGCCATTCACGGGTGCATGGCCAGCATCTCTCACCACCAGGAAGGGCGGAAGCAGCATTTCTCCTAGTCGACCAGGGCCACTCTGGCCACTCACACAGGTCACACAAACAACACACAAAGCTCCATCAGGGCGACTATGAGATGGCCTGGCATCATTTGTGTTGATGACATTTACAAGGTCAAGGATGAGGACATCAGAAGCTGGATGAAGGAATGCTCCGGTTGGCTTTTGATTGGACAATGTTAGAGGAGCAAGGACGCTACTAGGGGCTCCTGGCCTTACTACTAGTAACAAGAGTGATAACAAACAACCGCCTTTCCACAGATTCTCTACTGGTGAATCCTCCGGTCACCAGGTGGTCCTTGATGCTGCTAAGTAGGTGACTTCATTCTCAGGTGACGTTCCTCTACTAAGTTGGGCTGGTCCACCTCTGGGAGGGGAGGAGTATCTTCTTCTTCTTCTTCTTCTTCTTCTTCTTCTATGCTTTCAAATTGACTCCTTTTGTGCTCGCCTGGAGCAACAACACCTCGGTCATTCGACATGGACTGACCAGCATTCCGGACTTCTCGGTCATTCGGTCACTGGACTCGCGTCGAACCGGACGAAAGCGGAACCCGACGAAGTCGTTATGATGAAACCGTGTCGAATAAAACAGAACACGGAGAAAACAACACACGGATTAACACGCTCGAACTGTTCACTCTTTGCCGAAAGCTGTTGTCATCACACCCAGTCCAGCCGTTGATGTCCCGGTTCCTGCCGCCGGTTCGACGGATCATCGACGGAGATCGGCGGCGAACTCGCTTCCTTCAAACGGAAATCAGGAAGGTGAGGATGGCGAAAGGTTCCAGACTTTCACGTTTCACACACCCGTCTGGTGTTCAGCCTCCTCCCAGAATGGTTCCCTTTGAACCCCCAGACTGCGCTTGGAGTAACACGTGGAAAACACGCCGCGAAACGACCCTCCTGAAGCTTCTCGTCCGTGCACTCCGTCACCTGGAGTCAGGCAGATGTGCCGCCCATTATTGGTCTAGATGCCTTTGGTCTAGAGTCTAGTTGTCCCCAAATAGATAGTGGCGCGCTTTACATGGGATATGTGGGGATAGGTGGGGATCTACTTATTCTATCTATTTGGGGTGTCTGTGTCCACTTTGGGGTGGTTCTTCTCTTGGTTGTTCTGTCACTTCTCTTCCCCCCGAGCTCGCGTTTGTACTCACCCCACCTGCCGGCATGGCCCTGCGTCACCTACGTCCGCACGTGCTCGTTGAACCTGTTCGATCCAAAAAGAGCTGCGATCCAGGGTCAACCGCGCACCTCACGCGAGCTCGACCTCCGCACAAGTCCAGTCGGACCAGCCGGACACACCCATCTCTTCTGATCGGAATTTACGCCCCCACATCTTCCAGCCTTTGGAAGCACCCAGACAAACCCGAATCCTATGGGAGGGGTCTGGGGGGTTCGAACCAATCCCAATCCGGTTTGCTTTCCAACAGGGGCTGGAGCTCAGCGTCGCGTCGTCTGGGCCAACCACTTGGGAGCCGCTTCGGCTCGCCGACCCGCGGGGAACGATCGTCAATTACAGGACTCATTCTACCCTGGGAGTCAAAGACTATAAAGAGAATGGTCTGACGAACGGGGAACTGATTTCGGGAACTTCCTTTACTTCAGCCGGTCAAAATATAGTCGAACTGGACTTCTATAGGGTCTACAAAGAGCACCTGAAACATCTCCATCCGAACACGCGCCAACCGCGCCGAACGCGTGACGCGGAACCGCGGTGCCTGGAAGACTTCGCCGGCTGGCCTCAACGGAATGCGTGCGACTGACATCAACTTCCCCAGACTTCCACTGCTTCACCCACCACTCCAAAAAAATAAGAACGTGGACATTTGGATGGAAGTCTTGAAGAGGAAGACATGGCCAATTCACTTCTTCTGCCTTTGGGATCAGGCATGTGTTCGGGCAAAATCAGAACGTCCATTTCTCCGAAAGAACCTGCTCCGCACGTCCCACTCACCGTTTTACGCTACAGCTCACGGTCCGCGAACCCTTTCGCCTTTCGACTTGAGGCCTCCGCGCCGGAAAATGAACGCCACGTCTGGGACGGGTTTCGGGGCAACAGGCGCGGAAGCTTTTGGGTAAGCGAAAGGATCGAACGTGAGAGATGTGAAGAAGCAGTTGGTTGGGTTCAGGCAAGACATGGCCATCGGGCAAACTTGCCAATCCAGGATGGAGTAGAGGTGGGTTTCTACTCCAAAAAGAAAGAGCTTCGATGAGACCAAAAAAAAATGGGTAATTGTTTAGGAGCTGGTTGCTCCAAGTTAAACAGGATGAGCTCGTCATCCTTTCTCAGGGTGGCACCCAACTTTCTCACCAACACCATCACTGCAAGGAGATGCTAGGGAAGATCCACTGCAAGGAGATGCTAGGGAAGATCCACTGCAAGGAGATCTCTACAATCACTTGACTTGGTACCACCCCTTCCCATCTCCCTAGGAGATGAGGAAAAAAATATCCCACCAAAACCTCATTGTGATGCACCGCCGTGGTGGCACCGCGCCACACCCCGCAGGGCCGATCTGGCTCCGCAGTGACGGGCCGTGGAACCCGGTGGCAAAGGCGGGACACCTGGGCCGCCGCCTTCGCCTTGCCCGGGTGGGCCCGGCACTGCGAAACAAATGTCTCACTCCTTCTGGAGCCACGAAACGCTTCCTTCGCAGGTGCGGTGAACACCAACGATGGGGTTCCAGCCAGCTCCAGTTCAAACCAAGTGATGGGAACCATCACCCTAAATGGTTGGGCCGCTTCCTGCGGCACCCCCACAGGAAAAATGGCCCAACGTCCAAATCGAAGAACTTGCCTCAGCTAATGATGCAAGCTGTACAGACTTCCTTGTTCGCCTCATCCGTCACATCCAAACCATCGAAGCTGACGGCATTCTGCGAGGTGCACGTGCCATTCTCCAGGTGTGTCTCCTGCTCAGTGACACCGCCGACGTGAAAAACGTCACAGGTGGCTTCACATCAGCTGAAACCCTCCAGGTCTTTTCTGTCTCTTCTGATGAGTTTTCTAAGATTGCTCCTTTCGGTTCGGGTTCTTCAAAAAGAGGAAAGAAAACGGATGCTTTTGTGGGAGGTCTTCTCCACCTTTCTTCGCAAAAAAGCACACACACACACACACACACCTGCCCCACCTGCCTTCTCGTGCAAAGGGACGCTCCGACCACACTGGTTGGGGCACTTCACCTTGAGATTGAGGATGGAGCATCGCTCGAAGTGCGCTGGGACAATGCTAGCGCCATCCTTCCGACAGACCGGACACTTGCTATCCTTGGCCATACATCGCTTCCAGCAGCCCTCACAGAAGAGGTCGGAGCCACACTCATGCACCACAGCATCCCGGGCGACCAGCAAGCAAATGGCACACTTGTACTTCTGGACATCTTGCCCAGAAGACCATTCCTCATCATATCCACCCAAGATCTTCTCCTTGCCCTTCTGACCCTTCTCTGCCGTTTTCTGCTCCGGCCGCGAAGAAGAACTCATGACCTCTGCCACTTGGTATGTCTCACCCATCAAGTTCACAGTGCCCAAGGCTGCCAAGGGTGCGATGAGCGTCTCAAACTCCGCTGGATAAAACCACTGGCCCTGCACCCTCTGGACCGTGATGCTCCAGGGGGAGGGCGAAAAGCGCAACCTTCCTGCACTGTTGACGGGACATCCAGACCAATCGACATCCTCGTGGCGCTTTCCAAGGGTCACAGTGTCACCTTCTTGGATATCTCGCCAAGTTCCAACCGAAAGTTTGGGCGCTGCACCGTGGTTGGAGTCAACTTGCACCCACTGGTTTGGTGGTGTTGGGGTATCGTTCTGCGCACCATCGTACTTCCTCTGCTGCATGTTCTCCTCATCATTCAATCTCCACACGCCCGAGGAAAAGTAGATGATCGAGTTGCCGCCAACCTGCTTCCATCATGAAACCTCTAAAACCTCTGCACACTCACCAAAACGCACAATCTTTGCCAGGAAAAACACCCCGAAACCTGCAAAACTCCTCAGAGCACTTCAGTGATCCAAGCCACTCAGGTGAAACCAACCCCCTCCCAGCCTGCTTGTACTTCGGCCGACCTTCTAGCATCCCCCGTGGAACGTACCGGCCATTCACTGCTGCATGACCAGCACCTTGCACCACCAGAAAGGCACTGGGAGTCGCTGGGGCCGTTGGAGTGTTCTCTCCTGAGATTGGAAATCAGAGCTCGAGAAGAAAACAACAAATCAGAGCTCGAGCATCTTGGATCATCTTGCAACATGGCTACAGTACCTAGTAGGCGCTGTTTAGGGGATCGTTTTTCCATGTTCACTCAGTTTGGTTGATGATTTTTGAACAAAAAATGCCCATCGTCATGGGCAGCTTTTGATGGCCAACTCTCGGGGGACTTGGGGAGCAGAAGAGCAGCAGCGGTAGATCACGTTGCAGTTCATCCAACTTGCAGAAGAAAACTCAGCATGAGTTTAGTTGACATCAGTTGACATCACTCAATTCGTGATTGACCAAAAGCTAGAAACATCTAGAAACCCCTTGACCCGAGATCTCCTGAGGATGCAGAAACCTCCTCCTCCGCCTCAATGCGATGCGCCTTGCCATTGAAGTTCACCGAGCGCACCGCCGCCACGGGCGCCACCTGCGTTCGAAACTCCGCGGGGTAGAACCATTCACCCTGGAGGCGATGCACCGTAACGGTCTTGGGTGCTGAGAAGGAGAACCTCCTCGAAGAATCGCGACTCTCCGGGCAGCCAGACCAATCAATCGACCTGGAATCCTTTTTCAGCACCACGGAGTCACCGACTTGGAGATCGCGGCAAGTTCCGATGGAAAGTTTGGGCGCTGCACCATATCTTTTGTTGATCTTCACCCATGCGCTCGGTGGCACCGGCTCATCACCCTCAACAGCATCGTAGCAGCGCTCGTCGGTGACGTCCTCATCGTTCAATCTCCACTTGCCGGACATGAAGAAGATGATGGAGTTGCCACCCACCTCTATCCAACGAAGGCTAAGCCAAGGTGATGGGAGCGCGAAAATTCAAGTGTCGTGTCATGATATAAGACTAGATTTGGTTGCTCGGCTACATAGTGGTTTTGTGTCACAGTAAAACAGCAACTGCAAAGACCTGTTTGTGTGGTGGTGGAGGACGTCCTTTTTGCATAGAGGGGCGACTTTACAATTCTTGGTTGATCTTTCTGAACAGATGCCCATCACTTTCCCCATCTTCCCCCGGCCCCTACCCCACACCTGCTTGTACTTGGGCTTTCCTGAAAAGCTGCCATCATGTGAATAGCGTCCATTGATTGGTGAATGCCCGGCACCGTTCAACACCAGGAAGGGCATTGAAGCATCTTCTCCTCACGGACGGATCCCAGAGCAAAATGGACTCCCATCAGCCCCAGCTCCCAATTCGCATCGCGCAGGGATGCGCATGGTTTTTTCGGGTGTAGGTCCACATTCTCGGGGTGAACATTGAAGCGTTTGATGCACTTTTCGGTCCATTTCAATTTCTGAGGTAGCAAGGGAACGCAGAACGCAATCAGCACAGGTGGACGCAACGCGCGGGCGCACTTTTTCTTGAGCCAAATCAGCATGAAAGTCTGCTTCATGGTCGTGGAACCCAAGATATCCCTGCATTTAGGGGAACAGTCCTACATGGAAAAAGTGGTGTGGCTTTCGGCGTTCATCTATTCCCCCCTCGCGTCGTGGCTACGAAAGCTGCAACGGGTAGTGGTGCCAGTTAGCCACTCATGCCCCTTTGCAAATTGCGCATCGAAGACATTTGTTGCTCTTATGGAGGATATGATACGTCAAGGAGCTTAAAAGCTTCAGCCCAAGATACTGGCGCAAGACATTTCGTTTGCTCGCTGACGAAGGTGTGTATGTAAAGCAAAGACATTTCCGGGCCACTAATGTCTCACAGCTCGATCCGACGACGGCGCGCTATGCCGATGACGTCGCGCTATGCCTACCGCGCTGTTGTCACGAAGGCATTCCAAGAGGAGCTAGACGATCTCAGATGGCATCTGGGAAGCCCTGAAAACAACGCACCTCCAAGTCTGAGATTTCGGCCTCAGTCCTAGAACGGGCAGTTGCCCTCGAACGACGACTGCGAAAAGTTCAGCGGAAAGAAAGGGTCTTTCTCAGATCATTGCAATCAATTTGTAGACTTGGTGTGCTCAAGTGGTCCGCATCAGTGTACAAGCAAAGCCTTAGAGTTTCCATGGAATGGAACCCTGTTTTCGACCTTCTAAGATTTAGTGAACTTGCGGAGTGCTCGTAAGCCAAACATGAAGGTTCTAACAAGTCATCGATGAATATGATTGACCCTTGTGACCCGAGAGCACGTTCTGCTTGAAGATTTGCTTTCGCCCCGAATGCAGTCTACACTACGTGGCTCTTCGACGTCGAGATGTTGCCTCAACTGCTGCCAAAACATCTCATGTTGGTTGCAAGGGCGACGTTAGCAACATTCGTCTTTTCGATTCAGCAGCTGTTGTGGAAGTTGTTCATGTGGACTCCTCCCATAACTCCAACGCCAACCACATTCAGGGTGGCCACACATGGACGGCATGCAAGGACGTTTGATGTCGGCATACTCTGGGCATGCAAGTTCATCTCGCACCTCAACCCATGTAACTGTTTGCAGGTATGATTGAGCGTGTGCACGAATCATGTCAGATTGCACGTTTATGCCCGCAAAAGCATCCATATGCAAGGTTGCAACTGAAGACTACCAAATAGCCAGTCGGATTTAAAGTGTTGCCTTCGGTTCGAATGTCATCGCCTCTGAACACGATTCTTGCTTTTGCGTTCGCCGTGATGGGGATTCATGCTTTTTGCTTTACAGGATTGTCAACCTTAGGCAAGTCAGTATTATAGGCGACCAATGTTCACTGACTCCTCGGAGTGTTTGAGGAAATGGTATTGGTATCCTACTCCATTAGCTAGAAGACCTTCTACTTCTTTCTGGATAGCTTCCTTCCAACCCTCATGAAGATGCCAGCCATTCCTAACAGTCCATTCTGCGCGCACATTGTCTTGCCCTTCTTTGCTTGTTGCCGCGGTTAGCATAGCCTGGGCTACATGGTCTTACAAAACGTGTGAAATGCGCTGGGCCATTTCTTCTGTGTAGAGCGCGCGTTTCTTTGTAGCATTAACTTCCTAAGGTTGCTATCCAAAGTTTGAAGCAAACTTCCAACTAGAACCTGCATCTCCAACTCTTGAGACGCGGTCTTTCTTTGGAGTCTTTCAGACTGAAGGCCGTGGCTCCGCAACCATCAAGCTATGCTCCTTCCTGAATTGCAAACGGTCCAGAATCTTGCATCCTTTAGAAAGCATAATCAATGTTCACCATTCTGCACAATAACTTCTGCACACCGAATCAATTTCTGCAAGATCTTTGCTCATTTTCTTCTACGGGCTTTGAGCCTCCAATCAAAGTCCGTCCGATATGTATATATAATGAAACATACAGGACGATTCCACACGGTAAAGCAAGGCATCTTTTTCCGTGGAGCACACTCTTAAATCTGCCAAGGCAAGGGCGGAGGTTCAACAGACCTTACACGCTCCTTAATGTGAACAGCAGTGTTAAAATAACACTGGGAGGAAAGTCGTGGTTGGAAACACACAGACTAGCTTCTTATGTCATCTTTGATGAACATACCTGATCACCCACTGTTAAATGAAATATCACCCGCAGTTCAATAAGGAGAGGAAAGGCTGAAGATCCGTAGGCCTAGCAACAAAACGTAGTTCGACTGGGAAAGACAACTTGCACAGTCGCCATGGTTGGGTTTGGGTCCATTCGTCCTCAATACCCAACCTGGACAGCCCGTCGGACGGGTTACTAGCGGAGTCAATCCATTCAATCCAAGGTCGAATCTGGCGTTTTTGGAAAATCAGATGAGCTAGTTGGACAATAGTCTTAGTGTGAACGTCTTCTTGTCCGCTGGAACCTTTAATTAATGAGGAAACAGCAGCCTCATTATCCACGAACGAGAGGAGATCACGACCTTCAAGGAGATCACCATGGACCCACGGCACGAGGAGTCCACAAAGTGTTTCTCCTGGGTAGATTTGTTGATGACGTTCAATCCAGGAATATGTCACTTCGGATGGGACGAGACAGGACACTCCCAAGAAAGGGAAAAAGTCATGAGTACCCACCCTACTCGTAATGCGCCGTTCTCGAACGACGCATCCGAGTAAATCACCAGGGGGGATTTGGTGGCCGAGCACACATCAATATCCCGGGGCCTGGCTGCTTGAAGCATGATGCTGAGGAGTCGTAGAGTGGTGGCCTCAGAATCTGACAATTCAGGGGTAGAAGCATGCTGCTTTGCGGCCAGCACAGGACCAGCGAAGCGACCTGCGTGTCCTGCGCACATGCTGAACAACCAGTTGAGGTCACCACGGAGCTTCCCCGCATCGTCTGGACGAAGATGCTTGGTGGTAATTGCCTCGTGGAGCTTGGCTTGGACTTTCATGGTTGTGGAAGTCTTTGGTTGGAATCTGATGACCCCTAACCAGCCGAAGTCTCCTACGTGGACAGATGTACCGAGATAATGTCTATTGGGTGCCGGCACGAAGCTCTTCAAACTTTGCGGGAGTGCCCCTAACAACTTGAACACAAGTTGAAGGTTTCGTTGGGAGACATCGCAATCGCGAATGCACTCCACTGCAAGTTCGTCGTCAAAGTACGCGGCAGCACACCCTAGGAGACATCGCCTTGTGATGGCAATACCGAGCTGTGGGAATCGATTGAAGTTCACCACTGCGCTCTCTAAGCCATATGCCAGACCCCACATACACGTGAATCTCCATCCAACCCCTGGTAGAAAGATTGCCACATTAGAGAACGGCAGATGGGAGTCGGCCACAGGCAGGCCACGGTAGGCATCGGGTAGATCATCCGTACCCAGACGGAGGTCGAGCCATTCTGCGAAAAGGTCATTTCGGAATGCAGCATACGGGCTACTGATGCACAAAAGTCAACATTGACAGTTGAAATCGTTTCGTGCATCGTGGTATGGGCATTATGACCACTTTTCCGGGCGTTATCAATGGCCCGTTTCTTCCCATCTGGTTGGATGATGAGGAATCGTTCCACGAAACGCCACCCCCCAACACCAAAAACATCATCCATTTCACGTGCCGTGCGCAACGGCGAGCAAAACTCTTTTTCAATCTCATCTTGTGTCAGATCCAGGATGTCTTGGACATGCTCTGGAGGGCGTGAACAAAGGAGGCAAGCTAGGTCAGCCTCAGCTGCTGTCCCCAGCCACTGATCCAAAGACAATTTCCCTTCCTGGACGATGGGGCGAAAAACCCCGGAGTGCGCCATGTCGCCCACAATCTCAAAGCCCATAACCAAAGCTCTTGCCAGCATCTTGTCTGGCCATCGCAAGAGTGCAACCATAGTGGCCAAGAATGCTGGCTTCTTGCCTGCCGCCACTCTCCGAGCACTTTGCCATCGGAAAGGGCTCCTCCTTGAGGAAGCTTTTCAGCTGCAAGGGGGAGGTTGCCTCAAGTCAAACCCCAGCCTGGTGGCAAAATCGCGCCACCTCCGCAAGGTGCTCACCAGACCTCCCAAGCGGTTCACTGACAGCCGATCTGCTGCCGGCATAACCGACTCCTTGAGGAGCTGCTGAAGCTGGTTCCGTGAGACACCCAATTCCTCAAGGTTGAGGAAATCCTGTACGAGCAGCTCGAACAAGGTCTGTGTCTTGGCGGCCTTTGCTGCTCTCCTTGACGTCCTCAAAGCCCATAATAAGCCAGTGTGCTTCAGCAGGGGCGATTGTCAGGCCGACGCCGGATCTGTTGAGGAAGTTCATGAACTCCTGACTGGTGTAGTACCGACCACTGTCTGCCACAATCCACTTTGGAGATGGGTATGTCATCAACCATTTTGTCAGCGATCGAATCACGTCGGCAGACGTAGGTTCCCAGCTTCCACTCTCATAGCGCTGGAGGTGGTCGATCATTGTCAGGGCCACGATCTCGCCAGAGAATCAGCTTGTGCTTCACGCCGGTTGACTCCTCGTGCTCAAAGACATCTGTTCCAAGATGTTCATAGACTGGAGGAGTCTCGCCCAGGCTTGCCGGAGGTCTGGGTCTTGGTTTCGAGGCCTCCTTGCCACTCCAAGTTGCTGGCGATCTCCAGTGCCCAGCCCGGGGATCCTCTCGCCTTCAAGAGTTGCACCAAGTTGGACATCCCCGGATGGCCACTTGCACGGTGCACCCTCAACATCATCTGCTTGATGGCTTCCAACCGTTTCCCCGTGGGCGGTGTCTCCAAGTTCAGCTTCTTCCGACTCAATGCCAGAACTTGGGGTTCTGGAGGTAGTCCGAGAGGTTCGTCACGCTCTTCTCCAGGAGATAGCACGGAAGTAGCCTCCTCACTCGCGCCGATGGGAACCTCAAGGAGATAGGCCTCGACGGACTTTTCCAGTCCATTTTTCTGCTGTTGCCATTGGTGCGCCATGCCTTTGACCACATCCTTGCACAGCGCTTTTGGATAGTAGCTTGAGGCCTCGGCTGCTTGTCCTCGGCGTTCAGCGTGTTCATGAGACCGATCGCATCGCTTGTTCAGGGTCAGCCAGAGGTCTCGACTGGTCGTGAGGATCGTCCATGCCTTTCAGAGGGGAGTTCCCTTCCATTCCAATCCATAGGCGCAGCCATCAACCCGAATCCAGTAGGCACTTCGTCCATGCCGCCGGATGGAGAGAACCAATCTCTTGATTGCTCGAGACTCCCATCCTGGAGTAGCTGAAGTCGGCCACTCCCAGGCAATGTCGTTGCTGCAGGAAAGGATGGGTTCCAGTCCTCGAGCGATCTCATCGCACCTGGAAAGGTCTCGTCCCCGACGTTTCAGGAAGGCATCCCATTGTTCAGGCGTTCGCTCCGTGAGGTTCTGGAGACTTGAAAGTCGAGTGCATCTGAATGACACCCATGCCAGCCGTGGGGTGACCTCCTGAATCCGGCTAGCCAGCTTCGATGTCCCTTTCCGGGTGTCGAGGTCATACCCAGTCTTGAAGTTGATCCGCTCGCCATAGTAACCTCGCTCCATGAAGGCTCCAGTTAGAGTCGATTCTGGCGAGCATGCAATTTCCATCACGTCGACCTGCGGGCTGATGTGGTTGATCATCTCCCGGACGGGCTCCATGAGAGTCACTGTCAGGGCTGCCGCCATTGCCAATCTCTTGGCAAGCGACGGCCTCACGACCTTCTCGGTCAAGTGGTTCGTAGTGGCGATGTCATCCTTGATCTCATAGTGCCTCGCCATAGAGGGACGTGGACTGCCAGTAGACCTCGTCGTGCATGCAGTGCCAAAGGTTTCCCCACCAAACGTAGGACTCGTCGTGCTCGTAGTGCCGTGTGGAGGGAGATTAGAATCTCCGCCGTTCCTTGTGGGTTGTCGTGTTGGGCTCAAGTGATTGTTGTCAGGATTGGTGTCCAGGTCGGCCTCCAGCCGTGTCGGACAGCTTGACTGCATCCGTTTGCGCAATCCTTTCAATGCCTCCCAGAGGGCATTCACTCGGCCGAAGTGGCCTCTTTCTTCACCTTCTTCTCTGCCGCCAGCTCGTCGATCTCGGCCTTCGCCTCCTGGAGCTCCTTCTTCACCATCTCGAACTCCGCCATGGCCACCGAAGATACCCGCGAGCTCACGCTCATCGGACTTGCTGCTCGATGAGACGGCGCTGCCTCCTCCGTCTTCACGTTCTTGGAGTCCTCGGGTCCTGTCTTGGTCGATGGCTTCGGCAGACTTTGTCGAAGAGGAGACACCGCCTTTTGGTATGGCGTTGTCTTCACAGTCTCCTTGGCCGGTGAGCATGATGCTCCATCAGGGCTTCGTTGGCTCGGACCTGAACAGTCGTCCGGCCACGGCCACGCGTCTCCACCACACTGGAAGGACTTGATCCGGCGGAGGTCCATTGGCCCGGTTGTCTCTGGTCCCAGCGCCCTTGGTGGTGTATCGGAGTCTCAGGCCACAGTGATTGCATGCCTGCCAGGCCGCGTACTTGTTGGTCCGCTGCGGTCCAGGCACATGGTGCCCCATGCAAGGCCACCCGACATGGCGTGGGTCCTGGTCCGTTGACGGTGGGCATGTCTTCATTGTCCAAAGGGCTTGTCCTTCGGAACACGTCGAGTCGCTGAGCCAGATCATTGGCATTCTCGCCCAACCACCGCAAACAGCAGACTGACATCCCCCATGATGTTCTACAAGATCGTGTTCCTCTTCAGGTTCATGGCCATGTTCATGCACTGCACCATGTTCATGCGTATGCGCTTCTCCGTGTACATGATTGCCATGTGCTTCATGCGCATTCTCATCCGCGGCTGCTGATCCTATCTCACGGGGCCTGGAATCCTCTGGGACCTCTTCATTCTCAGTCTCAACATCGATTGGACCACGCTCGATCACCACATCAGTCCTTTTCCTCTGGCCCCGGCTCTTCCCCAGAGGGGTCCGGACGTTTGCCAGATCCTTCTTCAGTCGGATTTTCCGGCACAGAAGGGGTGTAGTTTGATGCAGCACCCGAACGGAGAAAAGCAGCGGCTCTCAGATGTTGTTCTCGACGTTCATCATCTGCATTTGCTCTTGTTCTTCTTCCATCTGCTCGAACTCCTCAGGGGCATTGAGAGGGACACCAGTAGTTCCGGCCAGCACACGTCCGGTTGGATCGTGCTTAGCCCCCTTGCCTCTCTTCTTCCATGGAGGCCATCGCGTACTGGGGTTCGTACTGAACCGCTTGAGGAGGAACTCGATGGGCAACTTGTGCTGGCTCAGGTCGATAATCAGATGTCCTCCCGGAGCGGACCACAGTTGGCTCACCCACCAGCGTCCGTCACCTCCTCGATGTGCCAGGTAGTCCCCATGGTAGGACACCATCGCTCTTCGTGCTCGAAGGATCCGTGACCCAATCAGAAGTGGCGTATCTTCAGCGCCTCCATCCAGCAGGAAGACTAAGAACTCCATGCCACCCATGGCATTCGTGGTCACGTGGACACCGCTCGCTGATGCTCGCCATTGCCGAAGCGGAACCGTGGTCTTGTGTCCAGCGAGATGTCGTATAGAGGAAATGACCTGAGTCGATCAGCCGGGACATGGACCGAATGCCTGCCACAGACTCCGTTGCTCCAGCGTCAATGATGGCCTTGGTCAACGACAGCTCTCCCAGGTTCGTGTCCTCCGCCAGGCTCATGACGTTGATTTCATAGTACGGGTACTCCGGGTTGAAGTCGATCCTGGCGTAGCCATGTCCGTGTTGACCGCAAATGAAGCACGGTCCCATGCCAGCTGACCCGCTGCCCTTTCCTTTTCCAAAGGCTGACTTGCCCTTGCCCTTGCCCTTCCGCCAAGGCTCCCAGAAGGTCCTCCTTTCATCCCGACCGGACTGTAGTAGCCCCTTGCCGCTCGGACCTTGGCAACGGCCATCTTCGCTTCAGCTAAGGTTTTGTTGGCCTCAGCTGCGATGGTGTAGGCCTCTTCCAGTCTTTTCTCACCTTCTAATTCTTCAGGAGCTGGATCGTGTCCTTCATCTTCTCCCGGATGTTGACCGTCACCGAACTCAAACTCCGTGGTGTAGTCTTCTTCCCAGTAGGTCGGAGACCAGTCATTCCAGTACGCGTCTTCGGACCACCAATCAGATTCACTGGGCCACCAATCCTCCTCGGCCTCCCAGTCGTTCAGATCCTCGTTGAACCAAGCTGTTCTGCGAGGCATCCGTCCATGATCATCAGCTTGATCCGCACCGTCAGCAAACAAGGACCTCAAGGCCTGTCTGATCTGGTTGAAGTGCGTGGAGTTCCGAGTCAAGGTCAGGACGTGCTGTCGTTCGGCCTGGCTCAACTTGGCTGCCTTCAGGAGGCGATACCCCCTGAGCTCGTGCTCAAAGAAGCCCGAAGCCTCGCCGGTAGTCGCCGAGGTCGTTGTAGGCCTCATCACCTGGGGCTCGTCATCCTCGAAGGTCACATCCTCTCGGACTGAACCCAGTCCGGCCCTGGTCACATTGCGAGACCTCGTGGGTGAAGTCGGTGGATCGTGCTCGCTGGCACCAACTCCCATGGACCTGACTTCATGTCGTGCCCTTTCGTGTCGAGCTCGCTGAAGCGCTTGTTGAAGCTCCACAAACAGCTCCTCCTCCCTGACCAGAAGTTGGGGAATCGTCTCATGGGAGGCCCGCTTCAGGCTCGACCACTTCTCTAGCCTCGAGAAGCTGTCCGGGATCGGAAGCTTCTGGAGTGGGCTTTCGCGAAGCACGGACAGGAGCTTCTCCATGCCATTCTCGGAGCTGAAGTCCTTGGGCTCCAGATGCCGTACCACGCTCTTTGCCACTCCTGACAACTTCTGCCAGACCCGAGGGGCTGCCAGCTTCTTCTCCGCATCCTTGTTGAGGCTGTATTCGAACCACTTGCATGAGGTCGCGAAGGCCTCGAAGGATGCGGGGTCCCCATCCCAGCTCGGGACCTGCATCTCACCCTCCTCCACCAGTCGTCACCGCCAGGTCCTCAGTGATCCGCCAACCTGTTTGGCCTCGCTTGCTCGAGCCCCGCCGCTATGGCGGAAGTACGTGAAAAAGGTCAAAAAGGGACATGTGATGACGCCATGCTTGCAGCTAAAGATTCTTGAATCCTTGCTGGTTGGACGTTGGAAGCCTTACTTTAAAAAAAGAAATACGATGCGGGCGCCCCCGTATCCGGCCACGCGCGGATAAGCGTAATGCGTCTCTTCGCCGGAACCTTACGCCAGGTCTCCGAAGCTCACCGTGGAAGGCTCCAGCTTCGTGATCCGATGCGCCTGGCGAAAGAGTTAAGCTCTTGGAATGATCCGAAGCCGCAGAGAGCCCTGACATACCCAAGAAAGCGCCTTTTGGAGCCCTGACCATGCTGCGGTGGCAGTGTTGAAATTTGGGAGTTCATGGAACTGGGAACTCAATGAACCTCACAACCCTTCGGACTTCAGGCAGAACCTCATGGGACTTCACCCTTCTCGCCGGGGGGGGGCACCTTGATGGGCTGGGCTTCCTTCTCGCGCCTTGCCCATCAAGTTCACGGTGCCCAACACTGCCAGTGGTGCGACCTTCTCCGGGCACTTGCTGGGGTAAAACCAGTTTCCTCGAAGTCTTCGCAGGCGATGGATGCTGAGCACCTCCCCAGGTCTGCAAAGCAGCTTGTGCTCCTCAGACCTTTCGGGGCATCCGGACCAGTCGACCTCACCAGGGCGACCGTTTTCGACGAACGAACGAGACGAGACCGAGTGAGGCAGCACCTCTCGGGGCGGGGCAGCGGGAAGAAAAAGTGAGTGCAAAGCATTTCAAAAAAGAGACAACATTATCAACATTGTAACATGGGACAGACCTGCTGGGTGTTGGACCTGGGTGTATGTTGTAATGTAAAATCCTCAAAGTAAAACAAGGGCTGTTCGGGATTCAGCCGATTGAGAGTTAATGATGGGCCAGGTGTGAGCTGCGCTCAGGTCACCTCACCTGGTGGATTGAAACTCTTGGAAACCACAGCTTCGTTTCGGGGGTTTGGTTCGTAGCCTTCAGTGGCGCATGTGGACTCTTTCTCGGTGTTCCTTCTGGAACCTCCCGCGCCCCAATCCACCTCCTCGTGATGCTTCACGATGGTCACCACATCACCTTCCTGGAGATCGCGGCAGGTACCCAAGGAGACGCTGGGCGCCGGGCCATGTTTGGCCTGCGCCGCCACCCACGCGCTCGGTGGCATCGAAGAAGCGCCACCGGAGTTGGTCGGCGTGGTGGGCGAGCCGGGGCCGCCGGTGCTGGACTCGTAGAGCCACACGGTGGTGTCCTCTTCGGCCCCCAATTTCCACATGCCCCATCTGAAGAAGATGATGAACTCACCACCGACCTTCTTGAACTTGGGCTTGCCTTCACGAAATCCATCCTGAGCATACCGGCCATCCACGGGCGAATGCCCAGCACCTGCTACGACCAGGAAGGGCGTCGAGTCCTCCCATCCACACGCCATCTCTCCTGGCAGCCGATCGAATCCGATCGGAGAGGGAAGAGTCCCCACCGGGTCGTCCCCACCGGGTCGTCCCCCCGCCCCGGGAAGCAGTCGATCCGTCCACGCAGCCCCGCCCAGGCGGCGCAATGGGCGTGTAGAATCGGTCCATGAACAGCCCACGTCGAGGAGACGTGGGCGTCTCCACCCAGAACTGGGCGAGACGCCCTTGCTTCGTGCACTTCCAACCGAGAGTCGACTCTCCCGAGGGTTGACTCGGACACGTGCCCCCAGAGTAGTGGAGGGGTGGAGTCTGTGACGATCCGGCCCCTGCTTGGGTGAAGTACTTCTTCCCCTCCCGAAACGAGTGTACACTAACCACACTCATCGATCATTCTCGCTGTGCTTAAGAGCAGGGGTGAGGTGTTATATTTTTCTTCTTTTTGTTGCACCTCCACCTTTCCTCTTGTGTTCAACATGGACAGAAGAGTCCTTGGAGCCACCAACCCGCATGGGGGGAAACGAGCCTGAAACCCGTGAAACCCAGTGATGTAGACTGAGTCATATACCCCCACAGATTGAAAAGCCTCTTCAAGCTGAAAGCAGGGGTTGAAATATCGCATGGAATCTCATTCATGACTCTGGTCAAGACCATGAAACCTCCCCAGACATGGAGGGTGTTTCACCTCTTCAAGCTGAAAGGGGGGCGATTGATTTCTCAAGAGTCCTCTGCATGGCCTGATAGAGTCCAACTCGGCCATCGGGCGACCACACCGGTCGAGGCGACTGCCACGAAGCCGGACAGGCCGAGCAGTGGATCCCGTCGACCGTCAGCCTCTTCACACACCAAAGAAGGACCAAGAAAGACAGAAAAATGCGATTCCAGGGCAGCGAGAGGTCCCTCCAAAACAGCGGGGAAGGGAGTGCCATTGGGGCTCAAGCAGCCACTCCGTGGGGTTGAGGCATCCCAGAAACTGACCTCCGAAGTCGTCGCCCACATCGTCCATCGGTTCGACCCTCGAATCTCTCCTGGAGCAAGACCACAGAGGGACACCCTCCGCGGAAGTTCCAACTCGCCCAGCAAACACGGCGTTCGTGTTCGGAGCCCCGCGACGCCGGAGTGGATTCACTAGGCGAAGTAGGCGGAAGTCGTTCGGAGCAACGCAGGAGTGCGAAACCTGCGTGGCCCTTCAAACAGCCCTTTGGGTTTTGATCCAAATGGCTGGTCGGGGTGAAGTTCGGAGACTCGCCACGATCGCCAAAGGAAGGCAAAAAATGGCAGGCGGAACATGACAGCTACATCACTCACCACTCAAGCGCGGTGGGAGCGCCTTGCCCCCAGACTTCTTCAGCAGCTCGCACAAAGATCTTCGATCTCCCTGCGGTGTTGGCACGCATCTGGATGAATTCTAAACTCAGTACATTTAATCTAAGGAAAATCCCGGTTTGACTCATTTTTGCCCCGATCGGGTCGTGGTGGACGAGTGCGGTGGGGTCAGTTCATGAGTCCATTGGTGTCTTCTGGGTCATTGACATCCATGATCCACCAACAAGAACAACACCCCCTTGCCCTTCCTTCTCACCGGGCTTGCGTACCTTTTGGCTCGGCTCGTGTGGGATGGTTGCATTCAAAGGAACACCCAGAACTGTCAGAGCTCTGTCAGAACTGTCTTGCCTACAGCAAAGCTCTGCCAGAGCCAGTTGCGGAGTTCGCTTCAATTTCTCTACACTGTACATTCATGAATATATATATATATATATTTGCGCAGGGTCTGTCTCAAAGGGGTTTTCCCTACCCACCCTGGCACGCGCCAGGAAGTGGAAAACATGTGTCTTTTCCCGGACATCCGTCTTAAGACCTGCAGGACATGCGTTCATCAGCTCCAGGCTCCCCTCATTCCAACAAACCCAGCGATGGACGCTTCGTCTCGCAGAGCGCGCTGTTGAGAGCGCACGACGGTCACATCGGAACCTCGCCCCTGCGTACACACGTTCGGCTCTAGCTTTAAACTTCTGGGTACGGATCACAAGCGACCCAAGTCATCTGGAAGGACAACCAAAACAGTATATCTGTGTGTATATATATATCCAATGGAATCTCATTCATAACTCTGGTTTTTTCATGAAACCTCCCCAGACATGGATGGTGTTTCACCTCACAAAAAGCTTGGAGGGTCGAGGTCGAACTCGGTCGCCTCCACCTGGGCGGTCGCCTATCCAGATCGCCTGTGACCCAAACACCCACAGATTGGTGGAGTACACTCCCTGAAGTCGGTGGAAATGGGATGGCCAAACAGGTGGGACATGGAATGACCATTGACCATGAAATCCGAAGACCAAACAGGTATAGTGCTTTTCCACTTCCATGTGAGTGTTCCTGAGAGTGTAGCTCAGCTGATACTACAGGCGGAGCAAATCTCCTTGTTCTCCTCATCTGCTGGGCCCGTTTCGTCGTGCACGACACCCTTCTGCCACGAACACATGTCCTGCAGGTGGTTCTCCTGGCAGCCGGACAGAATCCGGCTAAGAGCAGGTGAGAAGATTATCCAAGTGGTTGACTTCTCAGGTTGAAATTCTGGAGCAAACCATTGGAAAAAATGCTTCTAGACTGCCTCCGGGCCAAGAGCTACAGTTCTAAGTTCTAAGTGGTTCCTTCACCAAGACAAGCACTCCGTGGACTCCATCAGAAATCCCCTGGATCGACGGCAACCTTCCGGTCCTTGTCGTACAAATGAAAGGTCTGACCGCAGCCATTGGGACACTTGATCATGAGATTGCCGATGCATCTCCTTGCAAAGTGTGCCGGCACGATGCTAGCACCATCTTCCCGACAGACGGGGCACTTGCTGTCTTTGGCCATGCACTTCTCCCAGCAACCTTCGCAGAACAGGTCACTGCCGCACTCATGTACCATTGCAGTCCGGGCGACCAGCAAGCAAATGGCACACTTGAATTTTTGCACATCTGATTCACACCATTCCTCATCATATCCACCCATGATCTTGGCTTTTGAGACATCCGTCTTTTGACGGCGAACCTTTGAGCCTGAGCAGAGATCTGAAATGCGATGCGCCTTGCCCATCAAGTTCACAGTGCCCAAGGCTGCCAAGGGTGCGATGAGCGTCTCAAACTCCGCCGGATAAAACCAGTCGCCCTGCACCCTCTGGACGGTGATCGTCCAGGAGGAGGGCGAAAAGCGCAACCTTCCTGCGTCGTTCACAGGGCATCCAGACCAATCGAAATCCTCATGGCGCTTCTCGATCGTCACGATGTCACCCTCATGGATATCTCGCCAAGTTCCCTCTGAAAGTTTAGGTGCTGCACCGTAGTTGGGGTCAACTTGCACCCACTGGTTGGGTGGTGTTGGCGTATCGTTCTGTGCACCATCGTACTTCCTCTGCTGCATGTTCTCCTCATCATTCAATCTCCACACGCCCGAGGAAAAGTAGATGATCGAGTTGCCGCCAACTTGTTTGTACTTCGGTCTGTCTGCTTCCACCGCGACATATGCATATCGGCCATTCACGGGTGCATGGCCAGCTCCCCGGACCACCAGAAACGGGATCGGAGCCGTGTCCTCTCCTGAAGTCGGTGGTTTCGTGGATGGTGAAATGGGATGAGAAAATGAAATCCGAAGACCAAACTGGTACTTGTCCACTCATGGATTCATGTTCAATTACACTGGGGACCAATGACTCCCAGGACTTAGGACTTGACGAGACTGACAAACCCCATGTCACTGGTGGCCAGTCTAGTGTAGCCATGGATTCATTTCGGAGGGCTGGGGCTCCTGGCCTTCCCCCAACTCGTCGTCCCGGTCGGTGGGTCAATACCCGAACGCTGGAAGCGCGTTTGGCGCGGGAGCAACCGACTAGGGAGGGCCAAGCAAACCATGAAAAAACCAGGTGTTCACATACCAAAAACCCAGGTGCTTTGCTAGGGAAAACCCGGTGTTTTGATGGTTTGTGGGGCCCCTGGTAGGGGGTGGGTGGATCTCCAGGTTTTGACTCACCTGTTTCGTCCCATCTCTGTGGCTTGCCGAGTCGGAACCTGACCGTGACCGTGACCCTCCTAAGCCCTAACATCTCTCCTCCGCCCGGCATGCAACGGTTAAGCCGTTGGGTCCCCCAAAAACAAAGCCAAAAGGAAAGCTCCGCAACAGCACTGTACAGTTCTCTCCAAGTAGACGGAGCGTCAAGTTTGCCCCAAAGACTCAGGCGCCCCACTTTGGGCGAAGGGCTAGCTCAAAAAGCACCGATGTTCACGAAGGCAGCCGAGCATCCCAAGATGGATCCCAAGATCGATGCGCAGTTCTCGTGCACTTCGGAGACCCGATACGCCTGCCCTCGGAACTTCACCGCTCCCAAGGCTGAGAGCGGCGCCACCAAGGTTGGAAACTCCAGGGGATAGAACCAACTGCCCAGGAGTCGATGGATTTTCACCGGCAAGGGCGGCTTGAAACTTAAATGGTTGCCTCACATGCGGCAGAGATGTTGAACAAGGTCGATCACTGCACAAGGTTGATGCGGAGATGACGAGAGTCGTTGGTTTGGGCATTGATCCCATAAGGATTCTCAAACACTGACGTGACTGTATGTGTTTAATTCATACATTCCTAATCAACGGCCTGAGTTTGTCCTTCATTTCGGGCTGACTCTGAGATGGCGCATGTGACGGATGAGAACAACGTTCTACAGTAGACCGTCCACAGTAGACCCACTCTCCGTTTCACCGGACCTTCGTTGGTTTCAGGGCATTGAGACCAATCCATCGAGCGGGAGTTCTTGTCGAGCACCACGGAGTCACCTTCCTGGAGGTCGCGGTAGGTGCCCAGCGACAGCATGGGCGCTGGACCGTAGCGGTTATTGATTTGAACCCACGCGCCCAGCGGCGGCGTGTCGCCGTGTCCCACGCCGTGTCCCGCGGACTCGGCGGCGTCGTAGCAGCGCTCGTCGGTGACCTCCTCGTCGTTCAATCTCCACTTGCCGGCCATGAAGAAGATGATCGAATTGCCATCCACCTGCAAAGTGTTCAATGCCCCGGCTACACTGGTGAAGAGGTGGGGCAGAGTGGTAGATGAAGTCTATACCCTCTTAAATACACCCCCCCTCCCTTACTGGTTTGGATATGTTTTCTTGGTTGACCCAAGATCAAACACACCCAAAGTCGTATCGCAATGATCACCCAACCACTTTAGAACCCCTGCACAGAGGGATGCACGCGTGTTATTAAACCCTCAGCCACGGTGAAATGTTGAAAACTACGGTGCCTGCTTGTACTTTGCCTTCCCCGAGAAGGTTCCCTCCGGCACGTAGCGGCCATTGAGAACCTCGTAGCCAGCTCCAGCGACCACAAGGAAGGGCTTTAAGGAGTCACCTTCTCCTTTCGATGTGAACTCACCCAAACGAACCCAGGCAGAGTAGCAGAACTGTCACGGCCTCATCTGTTTGTTCATGTACCGATTAGCGACGGAGCATGCTGAAGACAGGTCTATGACGTGTTTTGAGAGAACGATTCAAAAAGACATCCTACGAAAACCCCGACAATGAGGGAGGGAGGGAGAGAGAGAGAGAGAGAGAAATTAAGCAACACTGGAGAAGTGTGTCTCTTTCAGGTTGCATGAGCCTCCCTGTTGTTTTGTTGTTGGGAGTGAGAAGGGGAGTGCTGAAACCTGGTGAGAGGCGAACATCCGCCCGCTTAGGAGACCAGGGACGTACCCGAGTACCCGGGGACCGCTGCTTGCTGGGGCTTCGCCATAGTGTTCTTTCCAAAAACGGAGTCCCCCGCAAAGCAGTCGGATCGCTTTGGCAGTATATATACATATATATCATCTGGTTTTGAGGGGGAACTGCTGTGAAACATATTGAATAATCTCTCACCAAAATCTAAGTGATTCATTCTCCATTCTGGCTGCTCCCCGCATTTGTTCAGCTCATGCCAACAAAAACACCTCTCCAGCTTGCTCTCCTGATCCACATGCAGCTGAATCCTCCTTAACCTCAGTGATGCGATGGGGCTTTCCCATCAAGTTCACCAAGCCCAAAGCTGCCAAAGGTGCGACCTTCTCAGGAGACTCCGTGGGGTAAAACCAGTTCCCTCGTAGTCTTCGAAGCCGGTGGATGGTCACCGTCCAGGGTGTACTGGTCAGACTGAGCCTCCTTCCGTGAATGGCTTCGGGACATCCGGACCAGTCGACCTGGCAGGGCGCAGACCTTCAACTGAATGGAGACGAATTGGAAGAAACCTCAAGAAACTGTGGTTATCTGAATCTGAGTATCTGAGTTTCACATCAAGACATGGTGTTAATACATTGAGTATCTGAGTTTTTTTTTATTGGTGTGAATTACACGCTGTTGTTCCAGTTCCAGCATCACGTTGCAGTCTGTGGCTTCCACTTCCACCTCCTCATTGAGCTTGATGATGGTGACCACATCCCCTTCTTGGAGATCACGGCAGGTGCCAAAGGACAACGTGGGCGCCGGATGGTACTTGGAATTCGCGGCGCAGGCCCAGCCGGAGGCGCCCACCGGACTGCGGCTGGTCGGACCCTCGTAGATCCAAACGTTGGAGTCGTCTTCGCAGCCCAACTTCCACCTGAATGGCTGAAAACCGTTGGGTCGTTTGGCATGTGGGCCCGGTGCGGTGATGGGTGAGGCGATGGTGTTCCGTGTGCCGTGGCGGGTCCTTTCCTGCCTAAACCACCCGCTATCTGGGGTCTATGCCGCTGTAATGGTGTTTTTTGGGGGGGGGTCGAGGGAGGCGAGGCCGCGAGGCGAGTCCTGCGTCTGGGGGTGTACAGGACACTCCAAAGCTAACCCTGAAAGGCTGACTTCGTTGAACTTCCTTTGACCCCCCAGATGCGCTGTCTGTTCCACTGAGTCGGAAGAGAAGGGGACCAGAACTTGGTGCGGAGGTTTTCCTCCAAAATCAACAAGACCTGGAGAGTCTCCTAGGAGGGGAGGGGAGACCTTCTGGGGAAGCCCGGCTCTTCCTCAGACCTTCTGGAGTCCATGGCTGGGATTAAAAGGGACAGGGTGAGACCGCCACGAGTGGCCTAGAACCTCGACGTGTTCACGGATTCATGGAGTGCTCCAAAACCGAACATCGTCGAACCTCCGCTGCGCTGAAACAAAAGGCAACACAACCAGCTGCGTGCTGCGGCGACGCCAAGGCACTGGCCCCACTTGAAAATCACGGTGAACTCACCATTCAGCTTTTTAAACTTGGGCCTTCCTTCACAGACCCCCTCTTGCGCGTAGCGGCCGTTCACCGCACCATATCCCGCACCCGCCACCACCAGGAAGGGTGGTGAAGATGGTGAAGACTCCGCCACGTTCTTGCTCGGCATGGCTCCGCCTGGTGTGGTCTCGAGCTCAAGGACCCGAGCTCGGCTGGAAAGGTCTGAATCCCTTCACCCTGGAAGAGAAGGAACTGTCAGGATGGAACAAAAACCCGGGCCATTGGAAGTGTGTAGCCGCCCCATGATTGCCCTGGGTCGTGGGTCTGGGTTCGTTTTGACCCGCACCTGCAGATCAGATAAGAAACGGCTCACATGATCTCACATGTCAGTATAAGTTTCATATCTCATTGGCGTGTTTCGTCGAACCGGCAGGAAACGGCTGGCTCTTGACCTTTGGGAGCCGCAAGTGACATGTTCGGGGGGTCGCAGGCTCAGAAACCATCGATCGCATCGATCGCATGATCTTGTGTGTGTTTCAATTGTGAGACCCCTGGCACAACAAGTCGACTGTTGGTGTTTCTATTTTTGGTTGCGGGGGGTCGTTGCCTGGGAGGAGACCCTTGATACACACCCAAACAGGAATGTCCTGTAAACTTCAGTGCCCCAAAAAATCCTTTTGGAAGTCTATCTACTGTCCTCCTTAGGTCGTTCCGCCACGCCCTGGTGGTGTTTCCGCGCCCCCAACCTCGACCGGGCAAGGGCCGCACCGAGCATGCCCGGACCACGCGGTCTCGAGGCTAGGACTATGGGGCCGCGGCAGTGGCTTCGACGGGGTGCGATCCAAGGTCGGAGTTGGGTGCCGATGAAGATCCACTAGCGATGGGACGAGGCACACCACCCCGAGCTCTGTGACTCCTGGTTCCTCTTTCTTCTCTCTCTTCTCTTTCTTCGAATTTCTCAGCGATGGAGCAAGTCTGCAACCAAGGGACATGTTGGGGGGATGGTCAGGGGAGATTACAGTAGCCCTCTTCCTCTTTCCATTCTGGGGGTCGTCCTTTCCATAGATGTTGAGGCGCTTTCTACCCGTGTTTTTCTTTCTGTCAAGCTGCAGCGACAGCATGGGTCATGGGTGATCTCGTCTCCGCATCTCCCCCAACCGACCATTCCCCAACTCCAACCGACCCAGTCCGCACCGACCGTTCCTCAGTCGCCATGCAGCGTCAGCGCCGAACTCCCTGGCGTCCGACGGCACGGCCGTTTCGGAGCCACGGTTCCGTCGGCAGCCGACGTCTGTGAGGTCAATCCAACTGAGGTCGGGAAGCAAAGGGGGTTTCATTGCAAGCCAATAACAAGTGATTCGACACCACACCACGTTCTTCGACTTCTACAGCGCCTCGTTCTGGCCAGCATCGGATTTGGAGGTGCACACTGGCTGCACCAGGAGGAGTCCCCTGCGAGGCAAAAGCAAGGCGCATCAAACCAAGCAAAGGAGGTCTTGGCATATGAGTGGTCATCCAGTCTTTTCTCATGTTGCAATGATTCGTTGGGGAGCCTGTTGGGCTCCTCCCTTCGGCCTGTTGGGGTCCGCCTTCTTTGTTTGCTTGGTGTACGCGGAGCTCCCTGTTGGGGTCCTTCCTAATCCCGCGGGTCGGGCGACAGGAGGCGAGGATCGTTTCGGCCAAGAGTCGCAGCCCGACGTGCGTCGCGTCGCGGCCCGGGCGCGTAGCTCGGTTGGCCGGACCGGGGCCGGTCGAAGTCTCCTCTCGCTGATCGATTCATCCCACGGTGTGACGTTTTCAAACGGCACAGAACACCGGTGTCGCATGACGATGGCCTCCAACCTTGAACTACCAAATCTTCCCAACAGACGAGTGCAGACTTGGTGCATCAAATAGTTTCACTCCGGTTCAACTTTGTATGACTCTCTTGGGGCTCCGCAAGAAACTGATCCGGCATGCACATGCCGCAGATCGCCGCAGGATTGTTTTTTCGCGGTCATGGACAAAAGGCACTGGACGCATGCATGTCTTTGACACGCTGCTAATCCAACCCAAACCCCGCTTTATTGCATGTGCAGATGTCAAGCTTCACACCTGTCGACAGGCAGCACCATTCACACGCACTATTTGCCAGAAAAGATAAACAAGAATCGAAAAGGGTGTTCCAACGGTTGTGATTTGTTTCTCAGGCTCGAGACAACTGCAACTTCACAGCCTTCAAGGCCTCTGTGAGTACTCAGCGACGTCAGAGACCGCGAGAGAGTAGGTCAGACCGCGATCTGTCGATCAAAACAGAAAAGGACCATCGGTCCGTCGGTGGGATCCCTGTAGCGGGGTGTATTTCTGTCCAAGCGATGGGAGAGAAGTGGTTTTGGAGGTCAGAGCCGACTGGAGGCCCCAGCTGATCTACCGCATTGGAAGAGATTAAACAATTGCACGACCGGAACGGCACATGCTATGCCGTTCCATCTTTGAATTAGAAGAGCTGTACAGCACATGAATCTCGGCGCTGTCCACTGGAACGCTCCAAGTTAAAACCTTTTAAACCAGGCAAACCACAAATGGTCGCCCTGCAAACTTCTTCTCTTCAGCGGTTTCTCGGTTTCGCCCTCCAACCCCCATGACTTCGTGCGTTTGAGACACCTGGCCGAAAGGATCTGGTCATGTTCGACCAGCACAATCGACCTGGTGCTCGCCACATCGCTTGGAAGCTCGCTTTCCTGAGCTACTGGGCCAACTGATCTACAGTTCGCCAGGTGAGGCTTCAAACCGGCCATTCCCTGGCTGGCCACTCCAAACGCCCATCCAACAGCCAGTCGACCGGCGCCTTCCAATGTCACGCTTTCCCGCGACGGCGCGAACCGTCGTCACGAAGCTCGGTTGGAGTCAGAGACGGAGTTCCGCGCGCGCGATGGTCACATGACCCGATCTTAAAAGGCCATGTTGGATCCAAAAAATAGGACAGGTATGTATTTATATAGATGAGTACTGGCCAGAAATGGTTCAGGGTCCTGAGTCAAATACTTTGAGGAATCACAGGCTCACTTTCTGGCCACACTCCTGCAAATATCTATTCTGAGCAGTAGAGAAGCCGTATCCGGAGATCAGCCCAGTCCGGAAAGGGGAGAAAGGGGCGGAGATTGGTTTTGCTTCCGAACACCTGTATAAATCGAATACATCCGAATACTGAATCCCGAGCCCAAACCCCGAATACTGAGGTTTCACACATCAACCTGGATTCCTGCCTCAAAGAATCCGAATCAGGTGATTTTTACAGATTCAGCGTTGTGAGGGCGCCCTATTTCTTTACAGAACAATGGATCTTCAAATCACACAGCCGCATCCGAAGCCACCCAAGGTTGAGTGACCAACCCCCGAAATCCCCAGAACCGAAGAACCAACGGAGGCTCGTGACATCGTTTGGCGCGTCCCCCAAATCTGGATGTTCTGAGCTTGTGGAGCGCTCGCCTCCAACCTACTAGCTTCTAGTTACTATAGTAGCGTTCTTGTTACTAGTAAGGCCAGGAGCTACGATCGTAGCGTCCTTCCCCCGTTCGAGTCGCGATGCCCTGAAGTTCCGTTCGTAGCGTCCTTGTTATCTCGCTTGTGGAGCGCCCCGGCATTCCCCAATCCGTCACCTTGGGATCTCTCCGGATCACGGATGAGCAGAGCGGGCCGCTGCGAGCTCTGCGCAGCCGTCGTTCTCTACCAACACTGCAGTTCAACCCAAGTGACCTACTTCACTTCACGATCACAAGGGCGCAAGCCCTTGCACTTGAAACTCAGCTGATGGCGCAGGCTGAGCAGACTTCCCGATCTTCCTCCACATCAGCATCCATCGTGTCGGCCCTCACCCCCTGCTGACAAGGACACAGGTCGTGGAGATGATGCTCCTGACGCACAGCCCAATTGAAACACCCACAGGTCGTGGTGTGTGCGATGGGTATTTGAACAGGGAGGTCTCCAACCAACTAGTGGGTCTTGCTCTAGTTTCCTTCTTCCATAGGGGTTCTTCATATTTGAATACACACTCCACACAGAGGAAGAGACAGGCCTTTTTTTGGCTGGACATGTGTGGACGACGTCTCATCGAAGATCTTGTTCGCAAACACCGTCGGTCCGTGTCGGTTGCTGCAACTTCCAAAAAAATGCACTGGACTCTCTCAAGTTGCGATGTAGTCTCAGGATTTGAGTCAGAATGGGCAGAAGATCTAGAATTCGAATGATATATTGCAAATATTGAACGGAGAATTTAGGCTCTTAAACTCAGTGACTTAGGGTCACAGTCCCAAAGGTTGTAGTTGAAGCTTAGGCACACTTTTAGCTCACGCTTGACTGAGCTCTGGCGGTGAAATGAACACAAAAGTAAACCACAAACGGCTGCAGTGAAACATACATCTATACAAGCTATGTCATGTACATGTAACTGGTGCTACATCTGATCACGCCTCCCGAGTTTAACATCTCCCAGAAGTTAAGCGAGTCAGGATTAGCACTTCGGTGAATTAGCTCGTAGCCCTTCAGTACATCTTGGTCTTGAAGAAGTACCTACTCTAGCTCAAGCCGTTCACGCTTTCAAAGTCAGCTCATGCTCACCTTCCAGGTAGTGGAAGTTCATGCCTTTCATGGCTGTAGTCATTTTCTCTTCGGTGACAGCTTTCGTTAGCACATCGGCCAACATTCGGTCGGTGCCTTCTTTCTTGAGACGAAACTCTTTCTTTGCTGTGCGCTCTTGTACCCAGTGGTACTGAGTGTCAACATGTTTAGCTCGTCCCAAACCTCGACGGTTTCCCATGGCGATGCCAGCGGAAGCGTCCATTGTCACCTCTTTGCTGGGAAACAATCCCCAGTCTCTTGCTGTTGGTGCGATTCCAAGCATTTGACATGCTCCAGAAACAAGTCCGTAGTACTCGGATTCGCCACTGCTCAGGGAGACAACTCCTTGGCCTTTGCTGTATGTTGTAAGACAGCATTTGTTGGCCATGAGCACGCCTCCTGACACACTCTTTCGTGTCCTTATGCAACCTGCATGGTCGGCGTCTGACCACATGTTGAAGGGGTTGCAGGTGCTTTGGTTTGGAAACAACTGCGCAACTCTTGGTCGATACCTGACATATCGAGCCAATCGTTTCAGCATATTCCAGTGCCTCGATGTTGGGTTCTGTAGACCTTGTGCCAATGAGCGCGTTGCAGTTTGCAGATCAGGTCGATCCTGTGCCAAATACGCGGCTCTCATAGCAATAGATCTATACATCGTTGCATCTTCGGCACTCAGCGGAACTTCTTCATGTTGGAGTTCCTCTTGACTTGGCTTGGCCAAAGGTGTTTTGACCTTGCCTGGTTGACCAGTGCCTAACCACTTGATGATCAACTCTGCATGTCTTGGATCTGGTTCCCACCAAATGCCTTCATTTGACCAGGTGATGATGCGATTCAGCACTCTGATCTGTTGGCTTGCCTTTGGTGAACCTGGTGGACCGAGAATGCCTCGTTCCACAACTTGCCATTCTTTGGCTGCTGAAGTGTGAAACCATTTGATGTCATCAAAACTTCCAACTGTCGTGAAATCGTCTCCATGCACTTCTGTTCGAAGTTCTCTGGATGCATGGTGGTAGATGCATGGGTTGGACTTGCCTTGAACAAATCCTAGCTTCTTCATGAACTCTGCAATGGTCAGCTCCCAATTCATGGGTGCGTCTCTGGTGCCGTAAAGGCTTCTGACCAATCTTCCTACCACATCTCCATCTTCTGGTTTCTTGCCTTCTGATGGAATTTCAACATAAAGTTCTCTTGTTGCTTTGGAGTAGAAATGAGCTCTCTTCACATCTAAAAATCCTAGGAAAGATTGCTTTGCTTTTCTTCTTTCGCCTTTCTCCAATGGAAGGCTGTCGCTGACTGCAATGGTTAGCAGTAGCTTCAAAGCTGCAAGGCTCGGCATGGCTGCGAAAAATTCGTCAAAACCTGAGCCTCTTTTGATCTCTTGCGCTACCAATCGACTTCTGTAGAGAGGATTGGTTTCATCTTGCTTGTTCACATCTACCCATCGAGTTCCAATGATTTTGGTTCCTTTTGGAACTTTGCTTCTTGGGATCTTTTCCCAAACTCCCATTGATTCGACAATGTCGATTTCATCTTTTCTGGCTTTCTCTACCTTCTCAGGTAGAAGCTCTTTTCCACTGATGTCGTCGTAGTACCACCAGTCTCTTGCCTCTTCTGCCATTTCTTCTGGCAGTGGGATCTTCTCTTCACACACTGGTTTCTCTGGGTCGATGCTAGATAGCACTCTCTCTCTCTCTGTCTTCTAGGATTAGGCTTTCTAGAGCCATCTCAATGCTCTGGATGTCTCTTGTTCTCTCGGCTTCATCTTCATGTTCGCCCTCTGCCTTTCTCTTCTTGTCTCTATCTACTCTGGCTTTTGCTGTGGGTGATCCTGCTGGTTCATGTTGTTCTTC